AAACTGTAATAAGAAGTTGAATTCAAAGGTGTTTAAAAATTCTCTGCTATTAAAAAAGAAATAATAATTTTAAAAGACCATACAAAACTACCACTTACAGAACTGCCAGTCTCAGACTTTTAGAACAAAGCTAAGACTCCAAATAATGTTCTGACTCATAATGAGCAGCTATGGTGCTGTTGTCAATTTTATTCCCTAGGTGACTTTACTTAGAATGACTGTCAATATAAAATAATAAATGCATTTTAGCAAAACTAAGCCATTCCTGTGGATTTGTTATACTTCACTGCCCTATCTCTTCTGTCCTCCATCACTGTTCTGTTTGAGTATTGCCCAGCTAAGAGAAAAATCACAAATAGGATTATTGAATTTTGTGGTACTAAAATGTCATCTCTTGCTCTCTGTTTTGACATTCTCTTGATCAATAAGTCATTAATACAATAAAAATAAAAAACCAACAAAACAAAAAAAACCCCACAGCTATTTAACTTTCTGTGTGCAAAGAATGAAAATGAGCTGTTAGTGGATTTCTCACAGGCCAAGCAATGGAACATGAAAGAAGCAGCCTATTATTGTGGGGAACCTTAGTGAGATCAAATGGGACAGACAAAGGCAGAGATGTCACACATTTCTAGACAAAGCAAGAAAACAAGGTTGAGGAAAATGTTCTTATAATCTAAGGCCTTCTGTGGATACTCAAAATGTTTTTCTCTCTTACAATTCAAGATGCAATGAAAGAGGAAGCAGTTCTGGTCATATAAATTAAGCTTTGATGCTTTCTTGCTTCTTACCTGGGTTGTCCATACCCACATTTCCAGAAACCTGGGACACAGGCAAAACAAACAGCCTATTACCTGCAGCTTGTCAAGACAGAGATAATCTGACAATTCAAGGAAACACATAGGAGGAAAGACCGTCATGAACCATGGTCTAAACATCTTTTTGTGCTTCTTCGGTGCTAGCATGATCAGGCACAAGTCACAGACAGAGAACATGCTTTTCCCATCTGTGTTCAGCCTACTTTTGCTGGTGCAACAAAACAGCTTACATCTCTGATGTTTCCAGTTACATTACCATTAGAGTATCCAGTTTCTCTGTGAAGACCACTTTGCCACTCCTGACAGAATCGAATTAAGTTGCTGATTTTCAGACAGAGAGCATGAGCACATCTCACATGTATGCCTTTAAATCACTCATTGTAAATCAGAAATGTAGGTTTTGTCTTTAGAGTTAGGTTCTGAGCTACTTCAGATGTTGAAAGTAAAATAAATAATGTGTGTGTGGCTCCAACAGCCTGGTGTCCCATTCCTTTGCAGTTACAGAAATATTGCATCACATTCTCGCCAAGGTCAGTGAGCCCTTGGGAAAGAAGCCAGTGAAACAGTGCTCTGAGAAGGGGAGCGACTTTTGCAACTTCATCTACAGAAAAAGAGGGTAACTCCTTTGTTACATGCTTACCAGAAAAAGCCTGATCACACTTTTAAAACACTTGGCACTGTGGGGTTTTGCTTATTCTCTCAATGAATAATTGCACTGTATCATTTTTCACTCCTGTACAAAGTCCTGGGTGAGCCTTTGCTGTTTCCATAGCAAATATAGGACATTATGCATGCTAAGGCTGTTTTGTTTGTGTGGTTTTTGTTTTTATTTAGATAAGATATTGTTTTCCATTAGAAATTTTAAGGAGAGAAAAATACTCAGCATTCAACTACAATTCTGCCAGAAAATGTTATGCTGATTTAAATGGTCTGCATGTTTAAACATGTGTTGGTTAAATTATTTTTAACACTGGCAAGTGGGGAACACTGGTTTTGGAAATGGGCTAGGGAAATAAATTAGGCCCAAACATAAATCTGTTTTTTCTGTCTTAATTCTTACTTGCTTTCAATTTCTAATAAAGTAGGATGTATTTCTTCATGTGGTATCTTCTTCAGCTTCATACTGATGTTCTGCTCCTTTGACTACTGGCAAAGTTGCTAAATCAAAGCCTGTGAATAAACTTCATATCACAAGGTACATAACAATTTTAATTACTTCTCGACATGCTGAGAATATCTGCTGGGTGATTAATACAATTTATTTTCATAAAAATCAAGTTAATGAGGAATAATATATTTCTCGGGCTTTCCACCTGGAGAACATAAGCCTTTTACTAATAAAAAGAAATAGAAGCTTTTACTTCAGAGTAGGATTACTAAACTGAACAAAACCCGCGGCAGTTGTATTTATATATATTAGAATCTATTTGCACATTAAGAAACTCACAAATCCTACATAAAATTGCAGTATGTACGTATATCTAAACATTTAGTATTGTGTCATAACGACCAAGAAACATTGATAAATTGACCCTCCTCACACTCTTCTACATTGTTAAGGTGGGTTTAGTTTTTAAATACAGGTATCCTATACCCAGTTCTCTGGATCTAGAAATTTATTAGCAAAGATTCAGGTTTGTAACATTTGGCATTTGAACAAAGACTCGATTTCTATTCTTCTTTACTTGTATTTTCATTTCTCTTTAGTTAAAGGGAAGGGCTATTTTACTGGAACATACAAATTTACTTTATTATTATGCTGTACAATATCAGTAATACCCAGGGAAGAATAATACATGCAAAATATGATTGGAGAGATAGAAACTGGAAAGCAATATAAGGAGCCAAAATTAAGGTGTAATAAGCAAAAAAATATGTTGAATGCTTTTCTATCTACAAAACATACAGGTAGGTTATGATAGACTTGCTTTTACTTATTATTGGGAAGACAATCTGATGCATCATGAAAGGAGAATTTTACAAGATCCAATACTTTCTGCACCAAAAGTAGTGTGCATTGTTAAGCTGCACCACTGAGCCACTGACCACCAAATACACCAAAATGAGATACAGATACCTGGATGCAGCACCCCTCAAGACTGAGTAAAAAGAAACAGACAGTTTAAGGATACAACTCATCTTAAGACAAACATTTCAAATAGCGCTAATGAATCTTATTTTAGAATAGTTGGGGTTTTTTTTCTCTATTGACCACAATGGGAGCCTAGACAACCAGCATGGGATTCAGCCAGAAGTTATGACCATTTAAACCTAGCTGGTTTGGCTGTTGTGCTGCAGAGATACAGTTGTTGTGCCAGAGCCTAAAGATTAATTCAGCTGTCCAACCACTAGATGCAGGATATTGATGCACAACACAGGCAGCCAAGGCCATTTTAGCTGCCTTTAGGTACCCTGGGTATCACACTGAGAAGCGGGAAGGCTGCAAATCTCTAGAAAGAATGTCATATTTGCCAACCCTGTGTAGCTGGCTTTGATCAACAAAAAGTGTTTAAAATGGCACCAGTGAAAATATTTTTAAGAGCCTGAATCCTGTCTTCCCTGAACACCACTGCTCTGCAGTGGTCAAGCTACATGAACAAAGGACAACATGGCAAAATCAGACACTTCAGTGGTTTGTCATGCCCTTTTTACAGTAAGAAAGCTGGACCAGTCTTAGGAATTCTCTGAGACTCTGAAAAGGTCTGGAGCCACTTCTGTAAGACACAACATAGATAAGAAATTTGGCTTTCCAAGCAGGATCATGGTTTTCCAAGCAGCATCTTCAGCAGGGGCTTCAGACTGACTAACCAGACATAGTTGAGAAGGATATCCATGTAGATATGAGATGGCATGAAGATGACACATGCCATACTACTCCATGCTAAAAGGCACTTTGCCTCACTATGCTTGTCTAGTTCTTCCATGGTAGGTAACAAAGCAGATGTTAGTGCTTCCTAAAGAAAAACAGGAGAAAGTCACACCATTGCTATTAGTTTTCATAAGACTGGAGTAGGGAGTTAAAAAAACTCCCTGGGTTGATCAGGCAAGCATTAATATGGAGTAAAACAAGCATTATTTGAACAAGCAAAACAAAATGTCAACAACTTGGTTATAAATACATGTTGCTGAATGGAAGTTTAAAAAAAAAAACCCAACATCCAAACCCTAACTGAACTGTTGCCAACAGCAGAAATAACTTACCCAAATTAGAAATTTGCAAATATTACAAGTAGGATGTGTTAATTTCCATTTTCTGTTAAACAGACTGGATGAAGAGCTTAGCTGCTCAAGCATAGTCATTTCTACATCTTTTTAGCTGAATTCACTACTTTGTGCGGATTAAAACTAATACTTTCCTTTTCCTAAGGGTTTGTAAAAGCATGTCTTGTGGTTCAGTAAATGTGACTAGTGAAGTATATACTTAGAAAATGCTTTTCTTCCTTTTTATGGAAACTTAGTAATGTCTGTCCTGAGTATTAAATAAATCTCCTGCAACTGTCTGACTCTGCCAGTTGTCATTATATACCAGTGAGAAAATGGAATCTTTCTTAAGTTTCCCCCCAATTTGCTTGATCTTCCACTTTCACAATCACACTGATCTTCGTTATACTGAGGCAGTGAAATAATTCACATCTTATTTGACTCCCTATTCTAATGTGCTGAAGCTTATCACACCTGCTGGACACTTTTTACAGTGAGACTGTTTAGGTGTAGGCTCACAATTAAAAACTGCTCTAAAATAGCCAATATTCTCTTTCTTAAAACAACTGCTGCAGTGCTTATATGTGTTTATACACTTTAAAGTGTGCATATCATTTTACCATCTGAACGGACTCTTTGTATATATATGATTTCGTAAGTCTGGACAAATTTAGTTTGTCACCCATCAAATTAAAACAGGACAATAAGAAAAAAACCCAGACCTTAAAAATACCTTCCCCAAATCCCTCCTTTCTTCCCAGGCCCAAATTACTTTGCTCTTGATTTCTCTAGGGACGGGGAATGAGGGTTATGGTCATTTTGTCACACATTATCTCTGTGGCTCCTTCTTCCTCATGGGGAGAGCTCCTCATACTCTTCCCCTGCTCCAACACAGGGTCCCTCCCATGGGAGAGAGTACTTCACTAGCCCCTCTGACATAAGTCCCTCCCAGGAGGTCCCTCATGGTCAGATTGCTCCAGTATGGGCTTCCCCTGGAGTCACAAACAGTCACTTCTCCTGGTGCAGGGTCCTCCACAGCTGCAGGTCTACATCTGCCTTGCTGTGGTCCTTCACGGGCTGCTCCACCACGCTCCTCCATGGGCTGTGGGAGATAGCCTGCAGCCTCACCACGAGCTGCAGGTGAACCTCTGCTCCTGCACACCTCCCCCCTGTGAGGAGGAAGGAGCATCCCCTTTGAAGAGGAAAGCAATGTAGGATTAACTTACCACAACCCCATTCCCTGTCCCCCTGTGCCACTGCAGGGGAAGGAGACAGAGAATTGATGCCACAGGGTCAGTAGAGCCCATAACTTCATGGGCTTTGAAACAGAGTTAATAAGAATCTCTTTGAATTGAAAAAGACTAATTTAAGTCTGACAAAATACCAATAGCAAGCAGAACCATTTTGTATGAAATGAGAAGTCTCTGAACAAATGCAACAATGGGAAGTTCTACTTCAGAAGAACATCAGTTTCTACACTCTTCTTTCTGTCTAGGAAGTCAATAGAAACCGTAGCTGAAAAAAAAAAACCCACACATGTTCTACCTCATGCCTTAATTCAGCAGAGACTGCAAGAAAACAGCAGGTAAAATAGAGCAAATGCACTCTTAACTGATCTATGGGGTTTTGGCTAATCTAAATCTGCAGAATATAGCATGGACCTCACTTAATACCTACAAATACTCCTCAGAAATCTAAGCTTAACAAATACTGCTCTGACATTATCCCTTTCAAGTGAAATAGCTGTAATTAAAATAAACATTAAAAACCCAAACTTCCCAAATCATTTAATTTATTTGTGAAGGGATTTTTGAAATGTGAAATGTAGTTTTTCTTTTGCTCTTGCATGAAAATGGTGGCCATTACTGTATTTACCCACTGAAATCCTATTTGTACTTGCTTCTTCCAAATCTTAATTTGATTTTACTTTCATTCATGGTATGATTGCTAAATGAGATATATTTCTGTTATTAAAGACTGATATAATCTGTTATACTTTGTAAAATTTTAACTTTGAGAATACTATATAAAGAGAGGACAGCAGAAATAATTTCCTTTTGGACCTATAAAAATAAATAAATATATAAACGGGAAGAGCAATTAATACATTGGGTGGGTTGCAAACTGAAGTCACCTGTCTCTCCTCATATTCTAAAGAGAGAACCATATAAAATCAAGTTGACTTCAACTGTGTGCTTGAAGTTGTAGGACAGGAACAGTGGAAGAGGCACTCTGGATTTTGAAGCTCCAGAACACCACAGGGGCAAGAATATAGGGTGGGTCACCAAATATGCAGGTCACCAAATCCTGTTATTTGTATAAAGTAGATGTCCATACAGTCTCTCCCTGTGGTCGAGCTGGGAACAAATGATCACTCTGTGGGAATAGCTCATCTTTTCAGCTACCTACTTCAGGATGATACAAATAATGCAGCAGAAGTACCTTCTTGGCTTATACTATAAATGAACCCTAAGGGAACTAGCTTAAGTATAGATGTTTACAAAGTTGACACCAACATTTGGTCAGCTGAAGCCTATCCTTTCTGTTGGTAGTGTTGGATCTGTAATTAAAACTGTGCAATCAGAAGACCTAAAAGTATTAATATATTTTCTTAAACCCTTTTTAAACAGTAACATTTAGGAGATGGCATAAAGATATATTAATGTGATAACACGCTATATTAAAAATCCCCACCTGTAACGGAAAGTCAAACAAAAGTTACTGAAAGGAATTACACATTACTTGAAAATTCATTTGGCACAACAGAGTCTTCATCTGCTATTTAAGGGTTATTTTCTGTTCTTTGCTTATTTCTTGATTATTTCTAACAGTGTTACACTTCAAAGCCTAAAAATCCCTTGTGCCAACATTATTTTGCACTTACTAGAATTAATTTTGCTTTATGGGTAATGGTCCAGAAACAAGAAGTTTTTTACTGCATATAACAAAAAAGCATCTTAAATATTCAGACAAATCTTCTGCATTGTGCTACAGCAAGCACAGAACAAGGAGGCATATTTCCCAGGTCAGAACATTCCAGCTAACCCTCTGATCTATTAAGAAGCCTGCAGGAAGGCAACATGCAGAGAAATTCTTGGCCTTGTACTGAAAGAAATTAGAACGCAAAGCTTGATAAACAGAGTCAAGATTTGAAGGCTGGTGTCCTGAACTACAGCAGGTTAGAAAGGCCTGTTCTAGATAAAGAGAATTAAAGTCATGTTTATCTTTTTGCCAAACAAAGCTTTAGCAATGTAAAAATCCAGACTTTGCTAACACAACATAGGTTTTCACTTCTCTTTCATTTCCACAGAGGTGCACTAACTTCTGCCATCTCAGTAAATCTCTCTTATCATCCCTTCAAACAATAAACTAGTGATCTGCGTAACCTCACCTCCGTGTCAGTGAAAACCATCCTCTTACAGTAACACTTGCAGACTATATAAACTCTTTTCTGGGCTTGCCATCAAAGAGAACAAAAAGAACGGGAAATATACAAGAAGTATATTCATAACAAATGGCTGAATAAAGAAAATACACACAAGATGACCTTGTTTAGAGAACTGAGGGATATCACAGTTGACATCTTGTACTAAGCCTGTCGGAATCACAACTTCCTGGGCTTGAAATTGATTTCTTCTTTAGTCTCCTTCTCTTTGCCAGTCTTTACATTCAAAAATAGAAACATAATTTGGCTTAACTTCTTGCTTCACTTCAGCAAGAATCTGTGCAGTTTTTTTTAGTTAAATGCTAACTATGAAGTTACTAGTACAACCTGATTTATTTAAGCTTTTTTTAAAAAAAAGTATCCCTCACTAAAAAAATCTAGAAGGCTAGGCACTTTATGAATAATTAAATTGTTGTAGAAGCTGAATCAGGAGTCTTGCTGGGTTTTTTATCATGGCTACAGATAAAGGATGATATTTTGGTCTCTTACTGAATTTTCAAGGACTTAGTTATGATTTTATCCTGCACATAAAGCACAACCTGCTTAAGAGGTGAAACACAGCATAAGAAAACTACCATGGTTAGTATTGCAAAAGCACATTTGTTGGGTTTGTATTCATGCTTTAGAGAAGAAAAAAAAAAAAACATGCTTAGCCTGACTTTGTGCCTCTGTACACATTTGTGTTTCGCCATAGGAATCCGTGGTACATCTGTGTACATTGACTCAGAATCATCCAGTCAACATCTATCTACAACTATCTACAGCAGCAAGCTAAACCACTGTACTACATAATAGTAGTAAAAGCTAGAACTGCACAGCCTGATGATGAATGCAAGGAAATCAAAACACAGGAAAGCTTACTGCATAAAACAATCTGCATAATTAGATGAAAATACATACTGGGCCATCTCAGAGCAGCAGGTGCAGATCACAGAATTCACTGCTTGCAGCAGGCAGGTAATAAAGGCACACATTTTTCCTGAGACTGGTCACTAGCTGACAAAATACAATCATTTCACAATTCCCCAAATCATTGTTAATAAAACAGTCTATAAAACACTAAGCTAACCGTGTTTGCTGCCTCTACAAGCAAAAAGGATTTCAGGATAGTCAGCAATTATGGGAAAAAGTTAAATCTGCAGATCTCTGCAAGGTATCTTTATATACATACTTTCCCCAAAAATGTTTTCCTTCCCTCACAGAGGGATGGGTGCCCTCTAGTTTTGAAGAACTAGAGTTTATTAGACACCCTCAAATCAAAAGATGGGATTTTGTTTTTTTAGTGTGTGTTTTTTAGAAACATAATTATGATGAATTGGATGGAAACTTTAAAAATGTTTCCTGCATAGAAAAACAAACTATCACGTAAGCATTGATAAAACTAACAAAAATGTGGCTATTCTCACAATGACAAAAGATATATAAATCAAACTGCTTTTAAGATGAATGGGACATCTCGAAAAGTATTCAAAATTAAAGTAATTTCAAATAAATTCTGGAAAATGGGGCAGTACATCTACACAATGGTGTTATCTAAACATACATCAAAGTCCATGACAAAAAATCTGAGATATTCTTACTTCTGTAAGAATACCTATTTTTGCTTCTTCCAGACATTTTCTCCTGCTAAATGCTTATTATTCTTTTGATTTAAAGAGTTCTAAATAATTAGGTTTTCAAAGCAACTAAAAAGACAAACAAAAAAGCAAAAACAAACAAAAAACCCCAACAAAACAAGCTAACAAAAAACCCCTAACCAAACAAAAATACCCACAATACCCCAAAACCAGCTACCAGACCTTCATATGTTGAAGAGGGAACACTATCTACAGCTGTCAAATACATCCAGCAGTGAAGCTTCAGAAGACCAATCCTTGGTTTGGTACAGTTATCTGTACTACCTAATACACACATAAAATAAAACTTCTGAAGTCTAGAGACCTAAGATTATGATTTCCATATGACTAAGTGGTATTTGAATGCAATCTTCTCATTTTGACACTTTTGTGACGTAGGAGAACTATACTAGGTTTTTAGTTGCTATTTTGAAGAAAGATTATGCAGGTGCATTAACTTGTCCGATTCTTAACTTTGCATTGCATTTCTAAGGTGTTATACTCTTCTTCTATCATGGGCTTAACAATGCTTTTCAAAAATCCTCTGTATGCCTGTATTTTACAGAGAAGCCCAGTGACACTGTTCATAATAGAAAACTGCTTTTGTCTCATATGGACTGCAGGCTTTACAGGTTAGTTTTCTTGCTGGTAACCAACAGGCTAGTTTAAGCAGGCTAAATTTTATTATATTTGTTACTCCTCTATTTCTCTTTTTTCTTTTTAAATTAAAAATATAGTAATTGTTGGAGAATAAAGTAAGGGCAATCCAACTACAGCCATTCTACCCTCATGCTATAGCTCATGGCCTTGGAATACAGAAACTTTGCCAAATAAAACTGCTCAGAGTCAGATTTTCATGTTTTGCAACAAAAGCATCCTAGAGATCACACAGTGCTACTGCTTCCTTTTTGGAAGGCTGAATTTCCTACAGAAAGATCCCACAAGAACAACCAGGAGCAGAATCCATCCAAGGCAGGCAGCTGACTCCTGCTGACTTAGCAAGATGCTGCAGGTGAGGAAGTGCCCCTACTCAGTGGGAGAATCACAGGATTACCATTGAGCTTGACTTGACAAGTAGGAGAGCTGAGACACACCACCATGCTGAGCCAAAGGAGAGGTAAGGGGATGTACGCACCAAAGGAGTACCCTAGGCCTTCCCCTGTAGGAAATGGTAGCAAGAGGAAGCCTCATCCCATATTTTCCTACTGGCAAAGGGGGATGATCTCCTGGCCTCCTCTGCTATGTCAGCCCAGAACTTCCCAAGCTGACTCAATGCTCTGAGCCAGCAGGGAAACATCCATGTCTTCTGCTGATTTGAATTGACTTGCAGGTGTATGTACTAAGCAACAAAGCTAAAGCAAGTAGCTGCAAGCAGGCAGGAGGTCAGAGACAGAGGGTGAGGCAGGAGTAGGGGCAAAAACAGGATCACTCCTTTTTCACATGGGTTAGTACTGCTAGATCCATCTGGTGAAACTACAGCCTCACTAAGAGCAGAAGGAACTGGACTGCTATCCATGTGCTTATGGAAGTATTTGGTTGGAGAAACACTGTGTTTTATTAGCCTCCCCCTCTGCCACTGAGAACACATCACTTGACAATTCTCATTTGCTTAATTCATTGTTTGTGAGCACTGAAGAAGTTTGCTGAGTGGCAAGGTTTCATTTTCTGGGTTCCTGCTACATGGCTTAATTCACTGCTTTTTCTGCAAATATTCATGGAACTTAAATGTTCCTTATTCCATCCAAAATTGACAAGGCTAAAAGCACGTTTTCCAGGTGGGAGATACTTTACCACATTTCATAAAATTTCAGATTTGATACTTCCATGGAGTTCTTAGGCCAGATGCTTTTGTGGTAATCTTCCTCCATATGGCATGTTCTGTTCTTCAAATGCCAGATGCACTCAGAAATGTTAGAAATACACACAAAGGTTAAAAGATTTTTAGATACACAGTGTGCTTCAGAAGCAAAAATCTTTTAAAAACACAAACACTGCAGCTTAATTTTAGGGCCAGATTCTGAACTGTGGCCATGTTTACTTGGTGCTGGACAAGCAGTAAATTGTGATTGCCAGCTCTGTGTCGTGAGGCTGCTCTAACCGAATGATCCCCAATATATTTATTTAACAGAGACCCCAATAGGATACAACAGGAAACAGCAAGGGAACAAAAACATTGTTTTAAACACAGTTCTCCAGCATATTGTACTCTACGTTGTCCTTTACTTCTTTGAAAGTGGGTAGAAAAATACTATCAAATAGCTTTTTTTGCCTGCATTGCATAGACTTGCTGTCATTAATTACAGCAACTCAGAAAATGTTTATTAGGAAATTGTATTTACGCTACAAGTAAGGAACTGCCTCTGATTAGGATATAACTACTTCAGAAACAAACATCCTCCACCTTGCACTGTAATTTTATGTTTCATCTTACTTTAAGAAACAGCTGTACCTTCCAGAACAATTTTACCATTTGCTGTGAAAAGCGATTGTCCTGCTCAAGCAGTTAAATACTTATCAATATATATTGGTAGGTTTTTTGTGCTTTTTAAGATTCCACTTCCTTTCTTTTTGTTTTGTTTATTTCTCCCTCACACAAACTAGGCCCAGCCAGGTGGCTACCTATGCAATTCAGGCATGGGGGATGAATAGCTCCTAAGCTTTGCAGAACTTGTCTCTCCTGCAATGCTACTTAAAACTGGAAGGATTTCCCTGAAGTGTTGTCAGAGGTATTTTAATTAATCTCAGTCAAATCTTAGCATTCTGTGAGGTCTTTATTATTATCATCATCATCATCATCTTGGCTTTTGTTTTGGCGTTTTTTTTATTTTCCTGACTTAAAAGTTTTGTATTTATGTGTTTGCAAATTACCAAAGATCCCAATTGTTTTAATTGCTCAAATTGTCGTTCTGTTTGTCATCTACACAGCTACAAAAGCCAAAGCTATGTCTCATTGCTATCATAAAACATATTTAAGTGTGGGTAAGTGAGAGCTGTAGGGAATACAATCTGAATAAAGGCCTCTAGTGTTTTTCTCTGGTTTCACTCACCGCGAATG